TTTACACGAATATGCTGAGTTCTGAAAAGGTCAGGAGTTGACAGTTAGACAAACAAGAACAAGTTTACGGTTACAAGAATGCAGAGGTCAGCAGAAAGCAGGATTTGAAAAACAGCGATAACAGAAACTTTATCCAGGAATGTGGGCTTTAAGACCACCAATCGATGGACTGCCTGAGGCATGTAAACAATGTATGCTGACCAATCATAATAGCATGTTGTGCTCGTGATCGCATGTCCAGGACTCAAAAGATTATATATTGTGTAACCTTCTGATAATAAAGCGAATTTGAATTTGCATCTTATAGATGTGTCGTTCTTTCCCGTTCGCTTGAATGCCCGCAGCACTGAAGCGACCAGTTCCTTGGTGTCAGGGTGTGTGGAAGAATTTGGGCAAGTTCCTAGGGCAGTTATCACCTCCCATAGCCTGGGACATTTACAACTGGACCGGCAAGTAACCCTGGCAAACTGACATGCTACCTGATAGAAGGGTGCTTGTCACAATCCTCCCAACAAGGGAACAACTTTAAACAGGGTAGCAGTCAGGCTCTGGCATTTTCCGGGGCAGCCTGCATCTTGCCACTGCTTGAACCTCTCCTGGCTTATAGCTGAGACGTTACTTCCCAGATCTCCCTGCCCACTTATTGGGTAGAGTCGGTATGCCTTAGGACTTCCCAGCACAAGAGGGGGAGGAATGTGACTCAGATTTGAAAATACCCTTGGCTAGAGATGCAGTGAAACAACACTGGAGGTCCTTTAACAAGTGACAGTTTTATTTGAAAGAAAACTCAAAATGGGTTAGTTGAATGAAGAAGGCACACAGTTAACAAACAGCTATATATTGGTAAACCTTACAGTATTATATGAGAATGAGGATGGGGAAAAAAGGAGAGAGAAAGAAAAGAGGAGAAAGAGAACGCCAGTCCTTTTTTATGTTGGTTACTTCAAGCAACTCCTCCTCTCCTAAGTGTTGGAGGGAGCAGCCAATTGACATGTATTTATATGAGTATTCAAGGCATTTCTTGGAAGGGTTCAAAGGGGCCTCCACCCCCTGTGTCCTTCCTTTGTCTCAAGTTTTTCTTTTCTGTCTAGCCCCTTACGGTGCCTTGCCTACCCCAATAAAAACCAGCAGCTTCTAGCACTGTACTGAGACTTGACCTGTGCCTACCGAGCCACAGTTCAGTACTCTCAGAGGACTTTGGTTAAGGCAGGGTCTCAAACCAACTAAGAGAATGTGGGGTACTTGGCTAAAACAGGCATTATGAACAAACCATACTATTAGACCTTAGCCTGCTTTAGCAAGAGACCTGCTTGCAGGTTGCGGGAAAAGTGCTGGCATTGATATCAGGCTGCAAGAATGTAAACTATTGAGATAATAAGAAGGAACTCTCAGAGAAAGACAATGATTTTATGCGCATGGACAGCGCATGGATAGTGCATACAAACCAATCATATAGTAACATGTACTAAGTATCAAGAAGTGTGTTTAAGTATTGCAAACCAATTATGCAGCGACATGTACTTATAGTTAACCAATAATGTAGTGACATTTATGTGTGTGAGAGTATAAAACAAATGCTGTAACACATAATAAATGAGATCTGCCTATCAATCACATTGGTCTGCGTGCAGTTGCTCCGTGCCCTCTCGGCCGCAAGACAATACCTTGACTGAGACTAGAGGGCAAATTACATCTGAGGACATGATAGTAGAGATAGGGACCCAAATTTCATCTGAGAACACCATGGTTAAGATAGGAACTCAAACAACAACTACAGTAATTGTTCTAGTGGTGAAAAAGAAACAGTGGACAAAGAGATCAATGGGTCTTTATCACCGATTAGTAAAGGACGAGGAAGAAGAGGAAGTATTGGATCAAGAAGCCAGTCCTTTGACAGAAATTGGAAGAAGGAGTGAGAGAATTCAGACAGGAAGTGGAAACTACCTGGTCCCTGACCTCATTAGAACTTTGAGACATGCAAAATATTGCAGCTGCCAGCCAGGTGAGCAGATTGCCTGGCTGCTTTGATGATGGGGAAACAGGGCTGACAGTCAGCAATTGGAAAGTAGGGAAGCCCAACAGCTGTGATCTCTTTTGAGAAACCAGGGAAATGACAGAGGAATTGGAAAAGAGGTAGCAATTTGCAGTCTCTGGAGATGGGTCCTCTCAAGTATGAGGGCAAGATAATCATTCAAGGAAGATCTTGTGAACTCCCCAAGAAAGTGAACCATTGCAGATGAAGATATCCAGTACCTGCAGGAATTAGTGGTGCTGGAAGTCGTTTATAGTGATCTAGACCTTGATGAGGTCTCCAAAGACCCAAGGGATGTCCTGTGCACACGAACCATGCAGAGGAAGGTGATTCAAAGTGCTCCATCATCATATTCCAACAGCTTGACAGCAATGTATTGCCCAGATATGGATACACCAACTGTGTAGAGAATGTCTTCTTGGCTCCCAAACTTTGAAGAAAATCTCTGTCCCTCCTCATCCCTACGAGACAGTGCCTTGGCTGTCAGGGGTGCCCCACGGAGTCAGTCCCCTCCTGTCCCAATCAGAGGGAAAGGGCGCCACAGGCCTGTACTGTGTGGTGCACTCTGGTTCTTCCTGTATGACCAGGGGGAAGACATGAGAAAGTGGGATGGTGAACTCCCCTTTAAGCTGGAAGTCCGTGTACGTGAATTGAGAAGGAAGACAACTGTTAGGAAGGGACCATCCAAGAAGGTTGTTGACTTAGTTTTTGTAGAGACACAAGGACAAAAAGTGATCTCCCAGACACAGAAGGACTGAGATCATCTTCCCTTGATCCTAGTGAGGGAACTTCTGGTACTGTCTTCACCTTCCCATATGATAGCAGCTGTCATATCTTGCACCCACAATTGGGCTTGAATACAACCAAAAACCAGAGACATTATCTTGGAGTGTTTCAATGGTGTTAACAACTAATTGATGATCTTTTTCATTGATTTCCTCCCATCTGGGAAATATGTTTTCTGTAAGCCACTAGTTTGTTCCTAAAGCCAAAAGTGAAGATCATAGTGGCTGTTTTAATCTTTTTAGATCACTAGTCAGTGTGGTCAATTTGTTCATCAACACTTACAAATTAATACTGTTCACAGCTCCCAGTCCTGTTCCCAAAATGCTGGTCACATCTCTCCTGGTTTTCCTGGAAGACATGAGGTTTTATTTCTGCAATCAAGTCATCCCTTAATGGAGATTGTCAAGAAAGGAGAGCAATGCAGTTGAATTGTAGACACATTAATTTGCATCAACAATTCAACCCACTAGACAGACCAAGATAGGTTAAATAGCACCTGTCCTACGTTTTTTATTATGTGTGGGTCAATTTCCCTAATTCATAGTGTCACTGTCTGTAGCTGTTGGTGTTGGAGCAAGTGTGGTTTGATTATTTTAAGAAACTGATAGAAGAAATAGAACATTACTCTCACAACACAGCATTCTGCAATTAGTCCAGGAGACTCTTGGTGTGCATTGAGGATAATTTCTTCATCCACATGATAGCATAAGCAGAAGACAAATGTTACTAGACTTGTTTACCAACATAGATGAACTAATTAAAGATGTCAAGATTGGTGGTAGCCTGGGCTGCAGGTATCATGACCTGATGGAAATCACAGTCTTGAGGGATATGGGCCAGGTGAAGAGTAGAGTCAGGACTCTGAATTTTAGGAAAGCAAATGTTCAGTTGTTTAAAGAATTAGTGGATAGATCGCCTGGAAGACTGTCTTCAGGGACAAAGGATCTGAAGAGAGCTGGCAGCTCTTTAAGGACATTTTTCTTAGAGCACAAGAACTCTCGATTCCCACCTGTAAGAAATCAGGCAAGGAAGGAAGGACACCAGCATGGCTGAGTAAGGACCTCTTGTTCAAACTAAAGTGTAAGGAAATGCATAGGCAGTGAACCAGGGATGTGTCCTGTGAACAATATAGGGATGCTGCCTGGATGTGTATTTCTGACTAAGATCTATCTCAGACCAAGATAGATTTAGGATAGTTAAAGAAAAGGCATGAGAAATTTTAAAATATTGAAAACGATAAAAACGAAAAATTCAGGAGTTTAAGAGGTGACTTGATCATAGTCTACACAGATTGAAACTTAATAGCAGATACAACAGTCAGTAGCTTGCAACTGTAATTGGATGCGTCCAACTACAGTGAGAGTCCAAGTCTAATACAAAGTAATTAGTTAAAAATTTACCAAGAGTAAAGGATCCACTTTTAAATATAGTTTAATTTTTTGGGAAAAAAAATACACTTCAGTTTGAGCATAAATAATTTACATATCAGAAAATCTAATGGTTCTTATGAAAGTGGCCAGACTAAATTATCACAATGGCCTATACTGCAGAATTTGTGTCATTAATACACATAAAATATTCAGAGGTTATTATCTGTGCAGAGGTCAATAAAGTTAAGATGATCCCAGGGAGGCAAGAAACTGAAATCCTTTATTGGACTTACAAGTTCATACTTAAAGGGTTTAAGGTTTACATATTCAACAGGGGGTTGTAACTATTACAATTTATTACAAACAGGGGGTTTCAGGGGATGACATAAGGGAAAAACCTAGATTAACAAATCTGGGGTCTTAACAATTACCTCATGGGGAAAAACTCACTTTATCTTAGGGGATTTTACAGGGGAGAACAGGTATTCTCGTCTTCAGAATGCAAGGATTCAGGGAACACAAAGGGAGAGATAAGGTACAATAGGTCTTCTGCACAGGTTTGATGAGATCAGGATGCAGACAGGGATGAGGTCAATGAAGAGGGGTTTTCCCAGCTTCTGTAGCCCATGGTCTTTTGCAAAGACCACTCCAATCTCTCGTTGCAGATATTATATTTTGGGATCCAACAATCTGTGAAAGAAATTTGAAGTTTTTTCCTCAACCAGAGAATGCCAAAGACAAATATTTAAAGATAAGAGAACATTTAACTTTCAAACTCAACAACAGCTGAAAATTAAAATGTTCCTTTAAACTGGTACTAACGTCTGAGACTTATTAGATATTCTGTGTCATCATAATGCAAGAAATATGGAAATACTTAAAAAGACAAATTTAATTTACTTTTAATTTTAAAGCTTTAATAATTGAATGCATTTCCTATATCTTATTCTAAATTCAATATTTAACAGAAGGTTTTACTGAGTTCTAGATTCCCTTTTAATGTGTTTCAAATTGACTACCTTTCTGAAACTATTTCTTCACTTGGTTTTTTTCTTTGCATCTTAACCTAGTTTTATTAATGAAGGCCCATCTAGAAAAAAAAAATAAAATCTGTGGCTGCACCTCTTCTTCTAGACAGTTATTTGAATTTCCAAAAAAATATGGGGGAGAGGAAACACAAAGTAGAAATGTTTATGGTGGATCTCTCACACAAGGAAAGAAAAGGAATGCTGCTTTAACTCATATTCCACTTTCAAGACAAAGAATGTAATAGATCAGCAGAGGGCAGGTTGAGCACTAACACGCATGTCACAAGTCTGCTGGAGATATGAAGAGCAGGCAGGAACAGAAGTCTTAGCCACTACCTTAATAGTTTGTTTTGTTTATTTTCAGACATTAAACTGAGATTTAAGACTGAGTAGCATATACCTATGTGTATATATTTTCTCTTACTGTGTTATTTTTTCTGTTGCTAAATGCAGAGCATCAAGATGCATTTGAGACATTCACAAGCCAGAGAATGTCAAAAAAGCACCAATAAGTGAACACAGAAGAGCCAGGAACAATTTGAAGGTTAGTTTAGACACAGGACCCCTAAAAGAAAAGAAAGGAAATAAGCATGGGGGGATATCAGAAACTACGTTCAAATCAACAGTATTTAACAGTTAATCAAATTGAAATAAAAACAAAGCAAGTCACGTATTTATTTACTAAAAAGAATAAAAAGCTATATAAGAAAACCAAAACCTATTTCCTATAAGATGTTACATTTGTTATCAGAGAAAAAAAAAAAAGAATAATTTTATATTGTGATTAACAATCTATGCAAAAAAAAATATCTAGTGGAATGAATTCAATGATTATACCTGAAAGAGAAGAACAGATACATTGCAAGTTTAACCAGTCAAAGGCAAATTTTTAAGTTATGCCATTCAAACTACGAAGAGACACAATCATCAACTCAACCACTGCTGTAAACAGCCAAAGCACTGTGAATGTCTAAAAGGAAATGGACATAGAAAAATTAATACAGAAATTAGTAAATTCAGAATAGTTTTTGAAAAGCTGTTATAGTAAGTTAGGACGGTCACAAAAAAAAAAATTAGGCACCTTTATTGATGATGGTCGACAGTCAGCTTTTATTGCTTCATCCAGTTAAATACTTCTCTTTCTCACACACACTGCACTCACACTGTTAACAGAATTTTACATGCCATTCTATTATTCGTTTTCTATCTATAATTTATTACCAGCCTTCATATATAATTGGATGTTCATTTCTTATTTACATTCTTTCCTTACTGGTCAGTTCTGGCACCTTTTCAAGTCTTTCACAGCCCCTGTTTTTCCTCAGGGAAACGGTTTCTAAATGTCTAAGTCAAAATCCTTCATCAGGGATCAGGCGGATTCGCCGCTCACCCCAACAAAAAGCAGAGAAAAGAAAGGTTAAGACACACATGGGATTCAGATGAAGGGTTTCTTTCTCATTAAATACCTATATCTATAAATGACACATTAATCTAAGTATATATTTTAAACTTCTGTACCTCACAAATATTAATTAAAAAAAATCTATATTTCTTATACAATACTTGAGAATTTCCAAACAAGAAATTCAAATTTGTGTTCCCACAGTGATGACATACCTCATACAAGCATTTTTGATCATGTGTTTAAGGCAAGGATTGTAACAGAATTCTATTTACAATCTACTGAGGCTGTCTATAACAGTGATTGTGTATGTAAACATCATAAGTTATGGAACATTCCTTTGTCAGTCTATACAAAATGTGGATGTACTGTCGTAAGCAACTGTGTTTGCCAAGAGGAAATTACAGGGTAAAATGCAGTTGTTGCTCGCTAGATGGAACACAGTCAACATGCCCCACAAAGGTTCCCTAAACAATGATAGGCACCTGCTACAGGAGACGGAATGGAGGGAGGAGTAGCGCGGAGTAACTGTGGCCTCCCTCCATAAACATCCCTGCAGGGAGGGGAACATGGTGATACTTCGTAGTTCAAAGACTGTACAGTATCTGTCCACCAAGGGAGATAGATGGCAAGGACGACTACCCTAGTAAGTACTTATGACTAAAGTCACTCAAGCTTCACTTAAACCTAAAGAGGTAGTATAAAAGTAAATTGGGAATAGGAAGAAATTAGAGGAAGACTCCATCGAAACTGATGGGATCATTTGACAGGTTGAACCTGTCTTCCCCCCCATTAGGGATGCCTATTGGGTAAGAACCATATTCTACGTGCTTTGAATGTTACTTTTAGGACTAGAGCTTCTTCTTGCTCTATATATAGATTGCTTCGTATTAGACCATGTGTTTGTGCTTGCTTAGTATCAGTAGATTGCTTTAAATAAATTTTTGCAGTCAGACACTATCACCAATGACCTACAAACCTTATTAAGAGTGTTATTCCGTAAACTGTTAGAGTGAGTCTTTTAAAAGGTGCTAGCCATTGCTAGTGGTGGATAACATTAGGAAGGCCCTCTGAGAGGTCTCCCTTATGCTGTTGGTTTAGCCCCCCCCAAAAAGGGCAGTCAAATTGCCCTCTGATCCCATGAATATGTTTGGTGAAGGGTTCCCCTTATGGGATGCTGACAGACTGGTTGGACATGAGGGTTTCAGCTTCCCTGGGGCACTGACAGACAAATAAATTGCCAAGGGTCGAGAAAATCTCCTCTAAAGGTCAGGCAGACCGCCCCCTTTTTCATGTGACACTCCTGCATACCACAGGAACTGCAAAATATATTTTTCTCCTGTTTTAAGCAATCTTTTCAAATCTGAAGGGACTAAGAATTACCATGAGAAATACTTTTATAGTTTTTAACTGTATTTTATGGGCTGAAATACTTTTGGAATAAAAAGGAAATACACAAATGCAACTTAAGTTACTTAGTAAATATTCATGGATTATTTTCATTAATCCACCTCTTCGCATTAACACAGAGATTATAAGTATGTATAAGAGCAAAGCATGCAAGACAAATGCTTGCTAAGAAAATCCAAGTGGTTTAGTTATCAATGCAACATAATGAAGACCAATGTATTTCCAGAAACTTACCAGGATTCCAAACCCTGCTTTTCAAGAAACTGCATAGGTCTTTCTGAAAAATTTGAGAATCCTGCAGAGTTAAATCATATGTATGTTATCACAGTACAAATATAAAATCTCTTTCTTTTTAATGAAATGTTACATACTGTAAAAAATTTGACAAGCATTATTATTATTATTATTAGCATGATTATAAATAACAAATTATGTCTAGCACAGCTCTTTCATGTGCTAACTAGTATGTCTCTATGCAATAAAACTCAGTTATTACCACAGTCCTTGAGAACGTCTGATGTTTGTACATTTTATAAATCTGAATAGAACATTCATTTTTAAGAAGGTAACTTTTTTTCAGTAGAGGAGCTTCACTTAACTGTGCAAGGCAAAATGGGTTAAAAATAAAACTGGAAAGTAAATATAATTAACAAAGTAAACAATCCAGGTGTTGTAGATTTTCTCTGGGACAATTTCTTCTCAACCCCACACAATTGCTATAAGTTGAGAGAAGGTTTATGCAGACAAAAGAGATCTGATTGGGGAAAATAATATTAGGATTTATTACCAGCAAGATAAAAACTAAAGAACTATATATACAATAATTCTAACTAGGCAAAAGTGTTATGTATTTACAGAAGTATCCCTCCCCCTTTGTATCAGTTCAGGAGGAGAAGCAGTCTCTTTTCCATTTCCGGAGTTACAGGTCTTTTAAATAATTTTGCAGCACTCGAAAATTCTTCTTCTATTATCTCTGGACGACAGCTCTGATTCGTCGCAGCTGGAACTGTCTCTCTCCCTCTCTCTCTCTCTTCTATGTCGACCTTAGGGCTGGGCCTACCCCCTCCTGGGCTAAGACTGGAGGCTGGGGGTTACCCAGGCCCTGTAGGATCTTCCATGGACTGCAAGGAGACACTTGCCTCACCATGGTCTTCCCATAGGGTCACAGGGGATAATGGCTTTTGAGTCCACCCCTGTTTCTTGTGGGGTCTCTCCTCACGAGAGACAGTCCTTGATGGACCTCTCTAGCGTGAGTTTACCTTCAGGCAACAGTTCTTCCATTCTCTGCTGTCCCTTAGGGTCACAAATTCAGCTGCACCAGCATGGATCCCTTACTGGGATCATACATCCTACCCAAGCCAACTTGCTCCAGCATAGGTCTCTCTCTCCATGGGACACAGGTCTCCAGCAAGACTGTTTCATCTTGGCCTCCCACCGAGTCAAATCTACTTCATGCACTCCTCTGCTTCAGTGTGGGCTCCTTCATGAGCTGCAGAGGGGGGTTCCCACTCCCCAACAATCTTCCACAGACGGCAGGGGTTTTTAGTTTTCAGTCTTTTCCCTGCTGAAGGGGGGGGGGGGAGAGAAAGAGTTCTCCCCCCTTCAGGCTTCTCTTCTCTCTCCTGTGACTGCTAGCTTTGACCTTGGAGGCTCCGTTATCTCTCTGTCCGAATTCCTTCTGCAGCATGTCTCGTCCAAGTTCTTCTCTGAAGTTTTTTTTTTTTTCTATTCTGTTACAGGAGAGAAGGGGGCACATGCCTGGGCCCAATAGGGCCGGTTGCTGCGCTGGTTCTTCCATTTTCTTCTGCACCACAGGTTTCTCTTCCGTTTTCTTAAATATGTAATTGGCAGAGGTGTTACTAAACCTTTTGATTGGTTTTGCTCTGGAAATCCCCCTGGAAAAAAATATTTTCAGCCCCAGAGGGGGCTGGGTCATCAAACCCATGACACCAGGTGTCTTGGTTTGAGACAATTTGGAGGGACAGAGACCTCGGATGGAAGTCTCCTTCCTCCAGTTCAATACCCCTGGTTCTCTCCAATACAGAGAGAGAGAGATATCAAATATGCCCAGATGTAAGTGAAAAAAAATAACTTTATCAAGAAGAATGCTGAACAATACTGATAAAACTAAATTGAGCTAATCAGAAAAATTCCCAAGCTCCTGACCACTGGACCAAAATGAAATGGCAGTCAGCTTCTCCCCACCCATTAAAACCTGGCAGGAATGGTTTGGAGGGTCAATGCTGGAGTGAGACCGCAGTGCTGGTACAGGCAGTTGGGGCAGGGCTGCGAATGGAAGGACCCACAAGACACCTGCCAGTCCCAGTGATGAGACCTGGTCACTGCAACTCTGATGGTGGTTGCAGTCCTGATCCACAGTGGTGGTGGTGGTGGTCTTGTGGAGTGAGGGAAGAAGACAATTAACCTGCCTAGGAAAGTCCAAGTGTGGTCTTTTATTGGGCTCAGGGTAGGTGGGAATGTTTCTGGTACCTCCTCTGGGGCAGGGAGTTCTTCACTGAATGATTATTACTGGGTCAGGGGACATTGCAAGAGTCTTTGACACCTTCTAAGCACAGGTGGATCCATTATGGCTATCAGCAGAGGTGAGTATCTTCAGGCCATGTGAATGAATTGTCCTGCTGTCTTCCTGAGGGGAGTTATCACAAATGAATCATTTATGTAAGGACAAAGAAACAATACCCATCTCATAGCCTGAGGTGGCAGGTGTGTATGTCCTCTGAGTTATCAGCCTTCCAGTCTTTTTACACTGATGGATACATTCTTCTCCTAGGAGAGTACCACCCTTATCTTATGTCCCTCCCCACAGTCTAAATCAGTAGGCATATTTGGAGAAAAGAGAAAAGAAAAGGTGGATACCAGAGTCTTTGTGTAACCCAGGACACCAGGTAAAGACTGCACCATTTAAAAAATATACAAGATATCCTTCTGAATTGACATTCCAAAGCAAGATTTCCTAAAAGTGTATTACATATAGAGTTCCTTTAAATACAGATATTCTCAAGACCACCTAAACTGCTTAAAATTAATTTTTCATGTAATGTAATCACTAGAGCTATTGCAAACCCTGAAGAAAGGAGTTACCTGATTTGAGTCAAAACTCTAGATAGCTTTCTGTCACAATCAGAATTGCCATTGCTTTCACAAAGAAGAAACCAAAGGTGACACAAGACTGATCTTTGACCTATGAAATAATGGGCAGTCAACGAAAACAGTATCTTAGTATACAAAAAAAATGTCAAGGTAGATGCAATTGCATTCACTATTAACCTGAGCATAATTAAATGAAAGTTAAAATGCAAATTTTACATACTTTTAAGAATTTACAGAAGTTATATCAAACTGTTACAGTCTGGTCAGGGCTTGGAAAAGCCCCTGCCAGAAACAAGTCCGGGCTTGTCAGAGCTAAGTTGGGACTGGTTAGACATTAAGGCTGTGCTGACCAAAAAGAAAACAATAAGTCAGGCAGCCCCGGGGACAAGACAAATTTGCAACTAGAGATAGGATGTAGTCTAGTGGTGGGATTTAATTAAACAATGTTTACAGTTAGGTAAATGGATTAGCAGTCGGGTAAATGGATTAATACT